CTCAACATAATAAAGGCCATATATGATAAACCCACAGCCAGCATTATACTGAACAGCGAGAAGCTGAAAGCATTTCCACTGAGATCGGGAACCAGACAGGGATGCCCACTCTCCCCACTGTTATTTAACATAGTACTGGAGGTCCTAGCCACGGCAATCAGACAAAACAAAGAAATACAAGGAATCCAGATTGGTAAAGAAGAAGTTAAACTGTCACTATTTGCAGATGATATGATACTGTACATAAAAAACCCTAAAGACTCCACTCCAAAACTACTAGAACTGATATCGGAATACAGCAAAGTTGCAGGATACAAAATCAACACACAGAAATCTGTAGCTTTCCTATACACTAACAACGAATCAATAGAAAGAGAAATCAGGAAAACAATTCCATTCACCATTGCATCAAAAAGAATAAAATACCTAGGAATAAACCTAACCAAGGAAGTGAAAGACTTATACTCTGAAAACTACAAGTCACTCTTAAGAGAAATTAAAGGGGACACTAATAAATGGAAACTCATCCCATGCTCATGGCTAGGAAGAATTAATATCGTCAAAATGGCCATCCTGCCCAAAGCAATATACAGATTTGATGCAATCCCTCTCAAATTACCAGCAACATTCTTCAATGAATTGGAACAAATAATTCAAAAATTCATATGGAAACACCAAAGACCCCGAATAGCCAAAGCAATCCTGAAAAAGAAGAATAAAGTAGGGGGGATCTCACTCCCCAACTTCAAGCTCTACTACAAAGCCATAGTAATCAAGACAATTTGGTACTGGCACAAGAACAGAGCCACAGACCAGTGGAACAGATTAGAGACCCCAGAAATTAACCCAAACATATATGGTCAATTAATATTTGATAAAGGAGCCATGGACATACAATGGCAAAATGACAGTCTCTTCAACAGATGGTGCTGGCAAAACTGGACAGCTACATGTAGGAGAATGAAACTGGACCATTGTCTAACCCCATATACAAAGGTAAACTCAAAATGGATCAAAGACCTGAATGTAAGTCACGAAACCATTAAACTCTTGGAAAAAAACATAGGCAAAAACCTCTTAGACATAAACATGAGTGATCTCTTCTTGAACATATCTCCCCGGGCAAGGAAAACAACAGCAAAAATGAGCAAGTGGGACTACATTAAGCTGAAAAGCTTCTGTACAGCGAAAGACACCATCAATAGAACAAAAAGGAACCCTACAGTATGGGAGAATATATTTGAAAATGACAGATCTGATAAAGGCTTGACGTCCAGAATATATAAAGAGCTCACACGCCTCAACAAACAAAAAACAAATAACCCAATTAAAAAATGGGCAGAGGAACTGAACAGACAGTTCTCCAAAAAAGAAATACAGATGGCCAAGAGACACATGAAAAGATGCTCCACATCGCTAATTATCAGAGAAATGCAAATTAAAACTACAATGAGGTATCACCTCACACCAGTAAGGATAGCTGCCATCCAAAAGACAAACAACAACAAATGTTGGCGAGGCTGTGGAGAAAGGGGAACCCTCCTACACTGCTGGTGGGAATGTAAATTAGTTCAACCATTGTGGAAAGCAGTATGGAGGTGCATCAAAATGCTCAAAACAGACCTACCATTTGACCCAGGAATTCCACTCCTAGGAATTTACCCTAAGAACGCAGCAATCAAGTTTGAGAAAGACAGATGCACTCCTATGTTTATCGCAGCACTATTTACAATAGCCAAGAATTGGAAGCAACCTAAATGTCCATCGGTAGATGAATGGATAAAGAAGATGTGGTACATATACACAATGGAATACTACTCAGCCATAAGAAGTGGAAAAATCCAACCATTTGCAGCAACATGGATGGAGCTGGAGAGTATTATGCTCAGTGAAATAAGCCAAGCGGAGAAAGAGAAATACCAAATGATTTCACTCATCTGAGGAGTATAGGAACAAAGGAAAAACTGAAGGAACAAAACAGCAGCAGAATTACAGAACCCAAAAATGGACTAACAGGTACCAAAGGGAAAGGAACTGGGGAGGATGGGTGGGCAGGGAGGGATAAGGGGGGGGAAGAAGAAGGGGGGTATTAAGATTAGCATGCATGGGGGGGAGGGAGAAAGGGGAGGGTGGGCTGCACAACACAGAGAGGACAAGTAGTGACTCTACCACATTTTGCTAAGCTGATGGACAGTAACCGTAATGTGGTTGTTAGGGGGGACCTGATATAGGGGAGAGCATAGTAAACATAGTATTCTTCAGGTAAGTGTAGATTAAAAATTTAAAAAAAAAAAAGAAAGAAAGAAAGAAAAGGGGGATTACTCCTTAACAGGATAAAACTATTGGTAAATCAAAGATCAACGCATGCTTTAAATATCCTTAATGTTGATCACTTAAAGGGTGTCAGATGATCAGCTATGGAGGTACTCTTTTCTGATAATATTCCTTTCTCTTAATTAAAAAAAAAAAAAAAAAGCAGTTACTGTGTGCTGACCTCCAATGAGTTCTGCACAGTGGTATAGAGGGCATGTCAAAGTGTGGGCAAAGGGTCTGTTTGTTTCTACGCAGAAGATCAAGGCCTAGCTTGGATACCCAGAAAATGAACTAAGATACGATATGAGGAGGAGCTTCCGGCATCAGCACTCTCTGGAGGACTCGTGCCGGGGGATGATCATCAAAAAGCCTCCACAGGGATCCGGACGATGCTGCGGTTGTGGCTGCATCCAGCCCACCGTCTCCTGGACTTGCCATAAGAAGGAGGAGGGAGATGTCTAGGCTGGCATGTGCATACAGTGAGACAACGAATTTGACTGGATCTGTACTGTTGGAACTCAACCAGGAGTTGGGAGGGGTGCAAGTTGTAGCACCCCAAAATCTCATGACTATAGACTATCTATGGTTAAAAGAACATATGGGATGTGAACAGATCCCAGAAATGGGCTGCTTTAATTTGTCTGATGGTTCAAGTACAGTTGGAAAATATCCATCATATCATAGATAAATTTTCACAAATGCCTAGGGTGCCTAAATGGTTTTCTTGGCTTCACTGGAGATGGCTGGTAATTATAGATTTGCTTTGTTTATGTCACCGTATTCCTATTATGTTAATATGTGTGTGCAAATTAGTTAGTAGTTTAAAACCTATACATACTTAAGGTACTATACAAGAAGATATGTCAAAGAAATAATCAATCCTCCCAAGTTTCCTTCATATGCTACATCTATAGCTTTTCTTCTTCCTTCCTAATTACAACCCTTAAATAGAATTCGTGCCTCATATCGAATTTACCGAGTATCATAATTCCTCCAGGTGGTAAAGATACCTCGAGACAAGTGCTGGGCATAGAAGCCACAGGGCATAAATCTGCAAAGAAGTAAAAAGCTAACCTTTGCAAACAATATGGCTTCTCTCTCACTTACCAACTTTACATTTCCCTGTATGGCCCCGGAAGATGACTGGTTAGCCAGAGACGGGTAAGATTCCTCAAGGGAGGAACAACCTAAGACAGGCACAGTCGCAGGGGGGCCATCAGGTGAGAATTTGGGGATCAACAGAGGTGAGGCTCAGAACCTCACCCCCCCTGCTTTGAGAGAAATCTTCTGCATCCGTGGATGTCTTGCTGCCCTTGTCTAGCCTGGATTAATACTTAGTCCATAGGCACACACCTGATCATCTGATCATCTACATTTGCCTTCTTACAGCACTAAACTATGTTTTCTACCTTTATCTTGCATCTACCTACCACTTCAGCATTTTATTAAAAATAAAAATAATAATAATAATAGGAGAAATGTGGGATCAACATATAAATCAAGTACAAAAATCAAATGAATATTCATATTTGACCTGATGGTTTATAGGTCATATTGCATGATCAAAACCGAAAGTTTCTGTGATGACTGCCCTTGTACTGTTCACCATGTAAGAATTTATTCACTCTGTAAGAATTCGTTCACCATGTAAGAACTTGTTCGTTATGCTTCAGAAGATTGGAGACTGACGAGAATTAGGCTTGAGATGGATTAATGATTGTACATTGAGCATTGACCCCCCTATACTGAATTTTATTGTTGTTAACAACCATTTGATCAATAAATATGAGAGATGCCCTCTCAAAAAAAAAAAAAAGTGATATATACACATAGTGGAATATTATTCAGCCATAAAAAGGAAGAAATCCTGCCATTCACGACAACATGGATGGACCTAGAGGGTATTATGCTACGTGAAATAAGCTAGGTCGTGAAAGACAAATACTATATGATTTCACTTATATGTGGAATCTAAAAACAAAACAAAATGGATAAAACAGTAGTAGACTTACAGACACTGAGAAGTGACTGGTGGTTATCATGGGAGAGGGGTTGGGGTGGTTGGGTGAAATAGGTGAATGGAATGAAGAGACACAAAATCTCAATCATAATATAAGTTGGTCACAGGGATGGAAGTACAGCATGGAAAAATATAGTCAGTGGTTCTGTAACATCTTTCTATGTTTACAGATAGTAACTGCACTAGTTGGGGTGAAGATTTAATAATGTGTGTAACTGTTGAATCACTATGTTGTTTACTTGAAACCAATATAATATTGTGTATCAACAATACTTCAATAAAAAATTGAAAAGGAGAAATAATACATCAGTACCTCATACAGTGCCAGGCATATAGCAAATGTTTAATAAATGATAACAGTGGCAATAGTATAAATAATATTATTATTAATTTATTCTACAAATAATGACTGCCTACTATGTAAGAGTCAAGCATTGTTCTAAGCACTTAGGATATAGAAGTAAAGAAAACAGGCAAAAAAGCCTGCCCTAATGGAGTTTACGTTTTAGTGATTATTGTGAATGATTTCTATGTTCTGTACACCATCTCAAGATTAGTGGCAGTAAACTAGGACAGAATACTATTTCTACCTCCAACCTCAGCTAGAGCTCAGGGTGCAAAGTAGTTGGGTTCAATTCTGGTTCCCAAGGCATTCCCAGGCACTTACCCTCCTTGTGGTGAGCCAGGGGCCGAGGAGCTGGTCTCTTTATGTGGAAAGGAGCCTTAGTGGGCCCAGAGCCTGGCACAGGTCCATTGGTGGCTTTTGGTATGGTCTTGGTCCCTCCATCCTGAAGCCTGGACACCAATTTCCCCACATCCACCTCAGGGCATGACTCCAACTTGCCATCTGAAACAGGCCTGCTTGGGGACTTCCTCCCAGGATCAGCTTCCGTACTCCTTTGAATTGGTAGTTTGGGGTATTGTAGCTGCTTGTGGGGTTCTATACTGCTGATGATAGTGCCATTGGGCATGTGATATTGGATTTCATCTAGGAATAGTTTGTGCAAAAAGGGAATATTAATGATAACCTTGATCACCTTTTCATTTTTAGACTTGCATGCATAATACTGAAAAATTGTGCACATTTTCTAAGGAGCTATAATTGTGGAAAAAATCAACAATATCTGACAAAATCAGTCTCTACCCCAATTTATGTGGTGTCACAGTTCCCACTGTATAGGGAATTCACTTCAAGATCTGAGTATGATTTTCACCAACACCATTCTGTAGAACCATAATTCACCAAGATGCTTTATTCAAAGAGATATGTAATTCCAAAAGGACTTAAGAGTCCCCAATCAATTATATATTCTATTCTTTTTATATATTGATATCAGTTAATATTTAACTATTTGATTTTCTCTTAAAAGTAATTTGTAAAGATCTCTTAAATTTCAAGTTAATAAACTTAACAGAATTTAACTTCTTTCTCAACCCTCAAAAAGCAGCCCCCAACTAGACACTTTATGTTCTTCCCCTAACTTTTGTAGTTTACAATTTCCTGTGACAATAGTATATGCTTTTCAATTGCTCTGAGTCTTACTTAAAGCTTTGAGACTTTAATGAAAGCTAAGGATCCTCTCCCTAAAAAAATTAACCTACTCAAATACATGCAAAATCTGGAAACTAATTTTAAGAGATTCATGGAGCTCCCTGAAACTGTTAATGAACCCCTGATTGAGAACTCTTGCTATAAAGAAACTCACTTCCTTAGTAATAGAAAACCTAGATCAGAGTTTGTGGTTAAGAACAGAGGTTCTGGTCAGCTAAATGAAACCTGAGAGACATGTCAAACAATTGTAATACATGGATCTTATTTGGATCCTGATTTTATTTTTAAAAAATTAAGTAACAGGAGACTTTGGACACTGTCTAGATAGTAATCTTCAGGAATTCCTGGGATTTTTTCTGTTTGCTTTAAGTATGATGATGGTATTGTAATTTTGGTTAAAAAGACAGTCCTTATGTTTTAGAGATATATACTGAAATATTTATGGATGAAATTATATGATGTCTTGGTTGGGGGAGTGAGTATGGGTATAGATAAAACAAGATTGGGTGTGTGGTAGCAAATGCTAAAGTTGGGTGATATGTATATGACTAGTATGTTTTACTGTTTTTTCAACTTCAGTTTAAGTTTGAAACTCTTCATAGTAAAATGTTAAAAGAGATGCAGGCTCTGGAGCCAGGTAGTCAGGTATGAATCTCAGTTCTGCTTCTTAACCAACTGTGGGGCCTTGGGCAAGTTCATAATCTCTCTGTACTTCAAACTTTCTCTTCAGTAAAGTGGGAATAATAATAAAACCTGCCTCATGTGGTTTTGGTAAGGACTACATGAGATAGTATATTTATTTCAGTGCCTGGTACATAATAAACACTCAGTAGTTGTTAGTTATTATCTATAATGTTATGCTTCAAGTGTGCAATGAGGCAAGAGTTTCCATGTGGGAAGGAAGGGCTGTCTTGCTGAATAGACTTTTTCCCCAGAGTTTTCTTCTCCTTACCACCACAGGGGTCAGGACCAAGAGGAATTCCTCTAAAGTTCCCCTATTCTTGTCCCAGGATAGATATATGACCTCGCTTTCATTAACTGTAGCACAATTACCACCAGACTAGAACAGTCAAACAAAAAATTACCAATGGCTAACAAATAATAGTAGAAATATAAGCACAAGAGTGTCATATAACTAGATAACATGCTTACAGGACATACCATGTGACAGAGGCCATATTTAAATCTTTAGCACTTAGGAGTAAACTCAAGCACATTTACCCTCTCAAAAAAATGAACAGTGATATTATTTTCTTCTTCCACATGCTTTATTCCCAACATACATCTTGGTTACATGTTTCTATCTGAATATTTTCTTCTTTTGGTGGAGACCGTAGGAAATTCCATGCATGTTCTCCTTTGTGGAAGACAACAGGGGTTGGCTGCACTCTACAGGCCGTAACAGTATCATTGCCACCTTAATATAGTATAAGAGATCCAATCTCCTAAGGATGATCCACATACAGTCTCAGAGAGGCCACTATCTTACACATGGGAAAGGACATTTTCCTGGCTTGAAGAAATAGAAGATGAAATGACAGCAGCAATGGGACTTTGGAACTAGACTCTTCTGCCAGGAAAAATATTTCCAGGCTTTGGGATGTGCTGAATAAAAATGATAAAATAGTGATGATAATCATGACAGTGATAATGATAGTTATAACAGATACCATTACTTGAACACTCTGTGCCAGACCCTGTTTTAAGTGCTTTACATGGATTATCTCACATAATCTTTAAAACTATAAAGTAGTAAACTCTTATTAGTATTATCTTATAGACAAGGAATCCAAGGCACTGAGAGGCTCAGTGTACAAAACTAATGTGACAAAGCCAGTCTTCAAAGCTAGAAGTCTATTTCCAGAGTTCACACTCTTTCTGAAGAAAGAGTTGATTGCTTCTGTCAGGAAATAAGAATTCAGTTTCATCCCTTTTCTTTAATCAGCCATTCATTTCCACAGGAAGACAGACAGACCAACTTTAGAAACTGCATAGAACTGGAAATGAATCAGTACCAGACAAGAAGGCCTTACAAATAGGCATGTAGCCAACTGGAGGCCACTCTTCTATATGTGGCTCAGTGGTGGTGAGAAGCTGTGAGAGGTTATACACTAGTCCAGCAGGAGAACTAGATAAATTACCAAGAGTAGAATCATGAAAATTAGTGCTATGAGGAAGACAGGGCACATTCTGTCTGGAGGGGCTGGAGAAGATCTTGTAAAAGAGGTAACATTTGAGACAGGCCTCGATGGAACAAAGAAGAGAGGGAATTTCAGGAAAAAAAGGACTTGGAAGAGTGAAAGATCATGGTTTGTCTAAGAAAACATAAAATAAAAAATAAGTTTAATGTGGCTTGAGCATAGAAACCAATTTTAGATGAAAAGTGCAGATAGCTGGAGATAAGGTTGCTAAGATGGGTTGGAGCTATATCATGAAGGCCATGAAGGCCATCTACAGGAATATGAACTTCATCATTGAGCCAGAGAGGACTGACATTTTTTGGCAGGAAGCAGCATTATTATGTTTTTTTAGAATATCTCTTTTATGTTCACTATAAAATGTATACTGGACTAGGAAGACTGGAGGTATAGGGCCAGATGGGGGACTGCTGGTAATAAGGATCTATATTGGATTAGCAGCAGCAAACAGAGACAGATTCAAAAGATAAGGGGGTGGAGCAGACAGGGCTTAGATATGGAGTCCATGATGAAGGGGGAAAGACTCATTGAAATACACTATACAAGGGTAATTACAAGTTCGGGATAAGATAATGAAATGCTACTGGTAAATAACAGTGGTGAGTAGAAAGATTGGCTCCTTCTCAGGATAGTGTTCAGAAAGGTTATAGGAATTACAATATTAAAATAGACAAATGAGCTCCAGAATAAAATGAATGCAAATTGCTGCTCTGTCATTTAGTGGCTGTGTGAATTGGGCAAACTTGTCATCCTCTCTGAGGCTCCAATGTCCTTCACTATAAAATGGATCTCATACCTACATTACATGTGAAGTGGTGAGGATTAAATGAGTATGGATTCACACTCACTTAAGGATGGCTAGAATTAAAAAGATAACAAGACACAGAGACAATCTAAGTGTCTATTGATAGATGAATGGATAATGAAAATGTGATATATATGTACATTATCAGCCTTAAAAAAGGATATCCTGCCATTTGCAACAACATGGAAGACATAGTAAGTGAAATAAGTCATACATAAAGAAAGAAATTGCATGATCTCATATATTATGTGGAATCTTAAAAAGTTGAATACATAGAACTACACTGAATCTATAAATAGCTTTAGGTAGTATGGGCATTTTAACAATATCAATTCTTCCAATATGTGAACATGGAATATTTTTTCATTTGTGTCTTCAATTTTTTTCATCAATGCCCTCTAATTTTAGTGTACAGGTCTTTAACTCCTTGGTTAAATTTACTCCTAAGTATTTTACTTTATTTTTATTTTTTGATGCTATTATAAAAGGGATGGTTTCCTTAATTTCATTTTTGGATAATTCATTGTTAGTATATAGAAACACAAGTGAATTTTGTATGCTGATTTTGTATCCTGTACTTCGCTGAATTCACTTACTAGTTCTAATGGTCTTTTGGTGGTCTTTATAGAGTTTTCTATATATAAGGTTATATCATCTAAAAACAGAGACAATTTTACTTTTTCTATTCTGATGTGGATGCCTTTTGTTACTTTTTCTTGACTAATTGCTCTGTCTAAGACTACAAGTGCTATGCTGAATATAAATGGAAAGTGTGTCCATCCTTGTTCTTGATATTAGAGGAAAAGCTTTCAGTTGTTCGCCTGTGAGTATGATGTTACCTGTGGGTTTGTCACATATGACCTTTACTGTATGAGGTGCATTCCTCCTATAACTAATTTGTTGAGAATTATTATCATGAATTAATATTTTTTCAAATGCCTTTCCTGGACCTGTTGAAATGATCATATGCTTTTTATCTTTCATTCTAGCAATGTGGTATGTCACATTTATTGTCTTGTTTATATTGAACTATCCTTTTATTCATCCTAGGAAAAAATCCTATTTGATCATGCTGTAAGATCCTTTTAATCTGTTGATGAATCAGTTTTCTAGTATTATGTTGAGGGTTTTTGCATCTCTGTTCATTAGGGATATCAGCCTTTGGTTTTCTTATATTGTCCTTGTTCGGCTTTGGTGTCAGGATAATGCTGGAATGGCAAAATGAGTCTTGGATTGTTTCCCCCTCTTAAATTTTTTGGAAGATTTTGAGGATTGGTAATAATTTCATTAAATGTTTGGTAGAATTCTCCAGTGAACATATCAGGTTGTGAGGCTTTTCTTTGTTGGGAGATTTTTTATTACTAATTCAATCGTCTTACTCATTACTGGTCTGTTCAGATTTTCTATTTCTTCATAATTCAGACTTGGTAAGATGTATGTTTCTAGGAATTTATACATTTCTTCTAGGTTATCCAATTTCTTGGTATATAATTGTTCCCAGTTGTCAATTTATGGTTCTTTGTATTTTCTGGCATTGGTTGTAATGTCTTTTGGTCCGTCAGCTGTTTCCTTATCTATGTTCTGTCTGGATGATCTGTGCATTGCTGAAAGTCAGGTATTTAAATCCCCTACTATTATCTTATTGCTGTCTATTTTCTCCCTTTATTTCTGTTAATACTTGTTTTACATACTTAGATGCTTGGATGTTGGGTGTATATATATGTATGTATGTATGTATGTGTGTGTGTGTATGTATATATATATATATATTTACAGTAGTTATAGCCTCTTGTGCATGGTATAATTATCAGTATAAAATTATTAAAATGATGCTTTTGGTCTCTCATGAGACTTTTCAACATATGGTCTATTTTGTCTGATATAAGTACAGTCACTCTTGCTCTCTTCTGGTTACCATTTGCATGGAACACGTTTTTTCCTTTTCTATTCCTCCAGTTTTCACCTATGTGTGTCCTTACAGCTAAAGTGGGTCTCTTGAAGACAGCATATAGTTGAAATTTATTTATTTTTTCCATTCAGCCACTCTATGTCTTTTGATTGGAGAATTTAATCCATTTTCATTTAAAGTAATTATTGGTAGGAAAGGACTTACTATTGCCATTTTGTTAATTGTTTCTGACTCTAATATATTTTTCTTCCTTTCCTCCTCTCTTGCTATCTTTGTGATCTTATTTTTAGTAGTAGTATACTTTGATTCCTTTTTATTTCACTTTTGTGTATATACTTCAGGTTTTGAATTTTTGAGTATCACAAATTTTACATAAAACATCACATACCAATCTGTTTTAAGCTGGTAACAAAGTAATGCTGACCACATACAAAAACTCTACATTTAGTTCTCTTCCCTCTCTACATTTCATCCTATTTATACCATAATTTATATCTTTTTAGATTGTATTCCCATTAACAAATTATTATAGGTATAGTTATTTTTTAATAATTTTATATTTTAATTTAGTATTTTATATGAGAGTTAAAAGTTATTTATATACCATAATTACAGTATTTGAGTATTAGGGATCTCACAAGGTTTTTATCTTTACCAATGAGTTTTAGACTTTCATATGTTTACCATGTTGTTTGTGTTCATTTGTTTCAACTTGAAGAACTTTCAGCATTTCTCGCAAACACAGTCTAGTGGTAATGAAATCCTTCAGCTTTTGTTTGCCTGGAAAAGTTTTATCTCCCCTTCATTTCCGAAGTACTGCCTTGTCTGGTATAACATTCTTAGTTGGCAGTTTTCGTCTTTCACTACTTTGAATATGTCATCCCACTCTCTCTTGGTCTGCAAGGTTTTTGCTGAGAAATCTGCTCATAGATTACAATAAACAAGGGGGTTTCCTTGTATGTGAACAACTCACTTTTCTCTTGCTGTGCTCAAAACTCTCTGTCACAGAATTTTGAGAATTTTATTATGATCTGTTTTGGTGAACATCTCTTTATGTTTAACCTATATGAGTTTCTTTGGGCTTACTGGATCTGGATGTTCATATGCCTCTCCAGATTTAGGAAGTTTTATGTCATTATTTATTTTAATAAACTTTCTGCCCTTCTTTTCTCTGCATTTTCTGGGACTCCAATATGTGTATATTAGTTTGTTAGAAGAGGTCCCATAAGTCTCTTATGTGTTCTTCACTCTTTTTTAATCTTTCTTTTTGTTCCTCTGACTAGATAATTTAAAGCAATCTGACTTTGAGCTTTATGATTCTTTCTTCTGCTTGATTGAGTTTGATAATGAAGCTCTCTATTGAATTTTTCAGTGCAATAATTGTGTTCTTCAGTTCAATTTCTGTTTGGTTCTTTTTTTAATGGTTTCTATCACTTTATTAAACTTCTCATGTATTGTTTTCCTGATTTGACTTAGTTGTCTATCTGTGTTCTCTGTAGCTCACTGAACATCTTTAAAATGATTATTTGGAATTCCTTGTCAGACAGTTCATAGATCTCCATTTAATTAGGGTTAATTCCTGGTGCTTTATTTTGTTCCTTTGGTAGTATCATGCTTTCCTAATTATTCTTGATCCTTGTGGCCTTGTGTTGCTGTTGCCTAGTTGAAGATGTTGGCACATCTTTCAGTCTTTACATATTATCTTTAACAAGAAAATGACTTTATCAGTCAGTATAGAGATTCTAGATGGGCCAGCTAGTGGGCTCCACAGGCAGGCTTGCTACTGGAGTACTTGGGTATGGTCTGGTACTTGGGTCATCAGGTAGATGAGTCTGCAGCCTGGATCTGCAGGGATGAAATTGGAGCCTGGGTTCAAGGGGATTACTTGACATTGGAAGAAATGGCCTGGCGCTTGTGAAGATCTGGAGCCTGAGTCTGTGGAGGCTAGCATGGAACCTGGGTCAATGGTGGATGGGTTGACACCAAGGTTCACTGGAATGGGCCTGGTGCTAGAATTCAAGGTGAAACTTGGTTTGCTCACTTCACTCTCCTTCCCCCATGTGAAGGATATTTCTCTCTGCATTGTGTTGTGTGAGCTTGGGGAAGGGGTGACATGGGTAAAATGGAAATGTCCTTCCTATCCTCTGTAATGCAGCTTTTCTTATTTCTGTGCTCTACCCAGGTACTATAATCTCAGCAGAATTCCATAGCTCTTGTGAAGAGGTTTTCATGTATGGATGGTTATTCATATTGATGTCCTGTGAGGGAGCAAGAACTGGAAACTCTTATTCAGTTATCTTGTTGATGTCACTCCTACATGTAAGCTGAAATTGAATTTAAAATCTCAAAACATTGAGAAAACACATTGCTCACCCATTTCAGTGCACTGAAGTAAAGGTCTAAGAACATCTTGGATCCTCCACTAGCTTCTGAAGGGATCATGATAGCAGGCTTTACAGGCTCATCCTTGGCCTATCCACTGCCAAAAGATAAATTCACTCTCTGGGCACAAATTTCACAAACCTTGCTTTACCAGACCCAGGAGCCAGGAAAAGTCTATCTTTTCTTGGAGATAAATGGCTATGCCTTCACTTCTGCCCTTCAATTTCCTCTGTGTCTAATCATTGTTAAGAAGCTTAAGGGTGAACCTCATTACTGACCTTCACTTTCATTCATCGAAGAAGTGTAGAAGACTGTCCTTTCCCGTAGCAAACGCTTTGAAATTGTGATTGGTTTGTGCCTTCTTGCTGTCACTCTAGGAGGAGGCACTGGGGGTGTAGCATTTTCCTCCGGTGGACCTGAATAGATCTGTAAAAGGGGAATAATTCCAGGAAAAATGAGAAAGATCAAGTTTTTGTCTCCCTAATGGTACCCACAAGTTGACACCCACCATCATTACATCTAGTGTCTGCCATATTATTTCTAACATTATTAAAGGAATTGGGGGAGTTTTCTTAATCATTCTAGCTTCAAGCAAATGTTTAGAAATTTGCTACCATGTTTGAGGCAGAGGACCTGGTACTGCTCAGTGTGTAGGAAAGAATGCAGACAGAAACTGCAACATCAGTCCCATATTTTCCACTTACTGCCTGGAAACCTTAGGCAAGTCACCTCCCATTTCTGAGCCTTAGCTTCCTCATCTGTAACATGGGGATAGCACCACTTACCTCATAGCGTGTGGTAAAAATCAAATGAATAATGTAGTCAAGATACATTGTATGGGTAGTTGTGGTATGTGGAGGATGACTAAATGCACTTAATATCTCTGAAAGGATACCAAAGAAACTGGTTACATTGTTTGCCTCAATACAGGAATAATAAGCGACTGAGGACAGAATGGGGGGAAACTTATTTTTCACTCCTGTACCATTTTGATCTTTTAAAATTTCATACCATGTATGAATTACTTATTCAAAAGAGAAAGAGCAAAAATGAAGTACCTTGGAAGATGTAAAAAGTGCTGGATGACTGAGGGAGGAGTTGTGATTAGAATTTTTATATACTCTCCCATATGCATTTGAGGATCTTCATGTCTCAGAGGAAAATGTGCTTTTGGCCACAGTGTACACACTTCGGGAGGACAAATATATGTATGTGGTGCAGAGAAAGGGGACCATTGTCCATTGCAACAATGAAATCAACTCCAATGATTAGTACAAAGAGAAATGTTAAGAGTTGAACATTCTATCAGACAAGAGTCAATGTAGGCTGCATAGTCACAGAATTTACTTGATTAGGAACAGAAGGGAAGCCTGTGTAAAAACCAGGAAATGATGAGAGAGCAATGCAAGAACAACTACAAGGCAGTACACATCTCAGTCTCATGGCATAGGGAAGACAGAATATGACATAGTAGCAAGCAGGAAAGTTTTGAGGCCATACAGTTCCACCACCATGAGTAATAATACTCTAAATAGCTACAATTTGTGAGCATCTGCTTAGGCATTGTAGTAGTTGTAACAAATATTACTTGCTATTCATCAAACATACCAGGGTCTTTGCACTGAGCATTTCTTTTAACTGGAGTGCTTTTCCTCCAGATACTCATGTAGTTTGCTCTCACAGTTCCAGAAAGTTTATGATCAAATATACTTCTCTCATTGAATCCTTCCAGGTGAACGTTATCTAAAACTTTGAAACACTTATACCCAAAGCTTCCTATCCCCCTTCCCTGTTTAAGTTTTTTTCTCCTTAGCATTTATTACATTTCCTAACATAGTATACTGTACTTAGTTCTTCTTTGTTGTCTGTCTGCTTACTGTTTGTATGCTATATAAAAGGAAGTCATCATGTTCACTTCTATATATCTCTAGCAACTAGGAGAGTGACTGAAATTGCTGAGTCAAAAGCCAAGCACATTTTAAATTCTGGTATAAAAGGCCAAACTGTCCTCTGAAAAGAACCATCTCAGCTATTTCCACTTTCATCCAAGTAGGGCAAAAGGAACTAGATTTACATTTTCAGCCAGTCAGAATTTAAAAACTAGAAAAAAATACATGTAATGATGGTTTTCTAGGCATTGGAAATGTGGCAATGAAAGAGTGATCCACAACAGAGGGAAAACAAATGAGGTGAATCCCGCAATAGTCCCGGCTTATACCCTAGAGAGAGTCTGCAGGTTGTAATGCACGGAGTGAAACCCAGGGGGAGCTTAGAAGTATAAGTTGAAGACATTGACTTGCAAGTATGGGGAGGTCAAGGAAGTGAGTTTTCAGGGAGGAGAGTTGCTCAAACAGCTCTGGAGGTCTTTAGGGGTCCTCTTTAAGATTTAGCTGAATACTGATCAATACATATGTGTGAGGTAAGAACATATGATAGAATTAAAGGGAACAATTACCTAAGATCACACAGTGACCAGAAGAGTTCCTGTTCTCACCAACCACAGTGGAAAATTGAATAATTCATAGGACACTAGGTAGGATATACAGACAAGTTTTGCTTCATTAGTGAAGAAAAATTTACCCTAAACACTATGCTTTTTCTGCTTAACAAACCCTAAAAGAAATACTTGAAAGCGTTTTACAGTAACTAACTACATCCCAGAAAAAAGCTTAACAATATTATTTATAGGAATACAAAAATCGCCAACATCCAGAAGGTAAAATTAACAATGTTGTGTATCCATAAAAAACTACCAGAAATATATAGCTCTTTCTGATTTTGATGTATTTTATTTTTCTTGCCTGATTGCTCTGACTAGGACTCCAATACTACGTTGAACAGGAGTGTTAAGAGTGAGCACCCTTGTCTTGTTTCTGATCTTAGCAGGAAAGCTGTCCACCTTTGACCATTCAGTATGATATTAGTTGTGGGCTTGCCATATATCGTCTTTATTATATTGAGGTATGTTCCTTCTATACACAATTTGTTGAGAGTTTTTACCAAAAAAGGAAGTTGAATTTTAGCAAATGCATTTTCTACGTTTATTGAGATAGTCATATGATTTTTATTTTTCATTGTATTTATGTGCTTTATCTTATTTATTGATTTGTATACATTGAACCATCGTTGCATCTCAGGGGTAAATCCCACTTGATCACGCTGTATGATCCTTTTAATGTTCTGTTGAATTGGTATGCTGGTATTTTGCTGATAATTTCTAAATCTATATTCATCAGGTATATTGGCCTAAAGTTTTCTTTGTAGTTCTTATCTTGATTTGGTATGTTTGAGAGTAATGTTTGCCTCATAAAATGAGTTTGGCAAGTTCCTTCCTATTCAATTTTTTGGACATTTGAGAAGGACTGGCATCACTTCTTCTTTTAATGTTTGGTAGATGTCACCAATGAAACCATCTGGTCCTGGTCCCTGGGATTTCCTTTGTTGGGAGATTTCTCATTACTAACTCAATCACATTCATTATTAGTCTGTTCAGATTTTATATTTCTTCATGATTCACTTTTGGTAGGTTGTGTGTTTCTAGGAACTTATCCATTTTTTCTAGGTTAGTCAATTTGGTATACTATTATTCACAGCAGTCTCCTGTTATCCTTTGTATTTCTGTGGTGTCTCCTGTTTCATTTCTAACTTTGTATATCTAGGTCTTCTATGTCTTAGTCTAGTGAAAGTCTTGTCAGATTTATCTTTTTTTGAAAAAATCAGCTCTTGGTTTCATTGATCTTACCTATTGTTTTACTGGTCTCTATTTCATTTATTTCTGCTGTCAGCTTTGTGAATTACTTCCTTCCACAAACTTTGGACTTAGTTTCTCCTCCTTTTAAAGTTTCTTGAGGTGAAAGGTTGTTTAGTTGTAATCTTTATTTTTCCTTTTTTTTTGCCCCATCTTGAAGCCACTCCCACTGCCAGTAAGTCTGGAGCCAGTGCATGAGGGCACTGGGCACCATGGGTGCAGAATGAATGGGCAGCGGGGAAGCTCCAGTAGTGAGTGGGCTGAGTTTTATTTTTCTTTTTTTTTAAGTAGGTGTTTATCATTATGGAATTCCCTTTTAGAACTGCTTTTGCTGCATCCCATAAGTTTTTTATACATTGTTTTTCCATTTTTATTAGTTTCAAGATATATCTTTTTAAATTTTTTTCCTTACCTATTGGTTGATCAAGAGTGTGTTGTTTAATTACCATGTATTCGTGAATTTTCCAGTTTTCTTTCTGTTAATTCCTAGTTTCATACCATTCTGGTCCAAAAACATAATTGGTTTGATTTCAATCTTCTTACATTTGCTAAGGCTTCTCTTGTATCTATGTATCTATGTATCTAATGTATCATCTATCTTTGAGAATATTCCATGTGCACTTGAGAATGTGTATTCTGCTATTGGGTGGAATATTCTGTGTATGTCTGTTAGGTTCATTTGGCCTGAAGTATAGTTTAAGTCTAATATTTACTGATCTTCTGTCTGGGCCATCTATGCATATTTGAAAGTGAGGCATTAAATTCCCCTACTACCTTTTTATTTTTGTATATTTTCCCCCTTGGATTTGTGCTCCAATGTTAGATGCACATATATTTAAATTTCTATATCCTCTTGATGAATAGAACACCTTATCCTTAAATAAGAACTTCTTTGTCTATTGTTACAATCTTTGCCTTAAAATTTACTTTGTCTGAACAACAACAAATGTTGGCGAGGCTGTGGAGAAAGGGGAACCCTCCTACACTGCTGGTGGGAATGTAAATTAGTTCAACCATTGTGGAAAGCAGTATGGAGGTTCATCAAAATGCTCAAAACAGACCTACCATTTGACCCAGGAATTCCACTCCTAGGAATTTACCCTAAGAACGCAGCAATCAAGTTTGAGAAAGACAGATGCACTCCTATGTTTATCGCAGCACTATTTACAATAGCCAAGAATTGGAAGCAACCTAAATGTCCATCGGTAGATGAATGGATAAAGAAGATGTGGTACATATACACAATGGAATACTACTCAGCCATAAGAAGTGGAAAAATCCAACCATTTGCAGCAACATGGATGGAGCTGGAGAGTATTATGCTCAGTGAAATAAGCCAAGCGGAGAAAGAGAAATACCAAATGATTTCACTCATCTGAGGAGTATAGGAACAAAGGAAAAACTGAAGGAACAAAACAGCAG